ACTTTATATTTATTTTTTATTACAAACATTTGCACTGTAAAAAAGAAACTTCAATTCACCTCATTGAAGTATTGTAGTGCAATCTCTATCACGAAAGTTGAACTTACAAATGTAGAATTATGTAAAAAAATAACTGCACTTAACAATAAAACAACGTAAAACTTTAGTGCCTACAAGTCCACTCAGTCCTACTTCTTGTTCAGCCAATCACTCAGACAAACAAGCACTCAGTGTTGGGGGAGGACAGGGGAGGGAGGAAGTAAGCAATAACCTGCGCAGGAGGATGACGACGAAGCGGTCTTGCTGCTGCTTCTGGAAGGGTGGTTTCTGGTATTGGTCTCAACAGGCTCACTTCCTTTTACTGAGCTAGGTGGGCTCCCTTCAGCTGAGCAAGCCCTTGCTTGCAAGGAAGGGTGGATTTTACCTCAGGGACTGCTCATACTGCAAGGGAGGAGAAACTGGTGCAGGGAAGCTGAGCTCACCAGGCCATGTTCTCTATGGGGTACCCTTGGAGTGAGCAGCCAGCTAGGGACAATGGGGCACGACGCAGGGGGGTGGTCCTGGGAGTGAGGGGCGGGCCAGGAACAACCCCAGGCTGGCTAGGGTGACGATACGTCCCATTTTGGCCAGGACAGTCCCCTTTTTCAGCTCTGTCCTGGCCGTCCCTACTTCTTCCGCCAAACTGGGTATTTGTCCCATCTGCAAGGCAGAGTAGAGAGAGGCAACTGCTGTCTGGGGATCAGCTGAAGGTGGCAGAGCCCGCCTGCAGGAAATTGGAGAAATTTGCTGCTGGCAGCCAGTGCTGGCTTCAGAGCTGACCCCTGGATGGTGCAGAGCTGGGGGGAGTGGGGGCGGGAAATCAGCCTCAGCTGGGGAAGGTGCAGAGCTCGGGGGAAAGGAGGGTTAGGGGGTCAGCCTCAGCCAGGGGAAGGGAGGGAGGAAATCAGCCTCAGCTGGGGGAGGCATGGAGCTTTGGGTGGGCAAGCAGCACGGGGGAGGAGGGGGCAGACGGCATAGGTCTTGGGCAGAGGGGTCAGCCCCAGCCCTGGGTAGCACCAGGGGGGAGGGGTCAGCCCCAGCCCCAGCCATGGGCTGCGTGGGGCTTGGGGGTGGTGGGGTGCCCCTGAGCTCAGGATCAGGGTCAGTCCCAGCCTTGGGCAGCACAGGGGGAGGGGTCAGCACCAGCTGTGGATGACACAGGGCCGGGAGGGGAGACCCCAAAGTGGGCAGTGCAAAAATCAGGAGGCAGCCCCAGCTGCAGGTAGCACGGGGTGCTTGGGGGGTCAGGAGGCATGGGGAGGGTGGTTCCAGCGAGCCCTGAAAAGGAGAGGGGGCGCTCCGGCGAGTCCCTGCCTGTCCTGTTTTTACTTTAAAACGTAGGAATGAGAACTACCTTACTTTCTGAAGCCTCTTCTCTTCCCGCCCTCTGGTGACGGCTTGTGTTACTGCGCTTGACCAAACAGGTTTCTCAGAGCAGCTCATGCTGCCCTCTCGCTCACAGGGTCTGCGATTAATGCGTGTTAAAAATATTAACATGCGTTAATCGCAGGTGTTAACAGCAGTTAATTGACAGCCCTAATTCAAATAAATGGTGACAACTTCATTCCACTGAATAAATGGCACTAGAAAAGTTATATCTTACAGCATCATTAAAATAATGAAGCACGAGTGAAATAAAGTTGCCTGAATTTGCTCATGTAAGCAGTACACTATTAAATGCTTAACTACACTTCACATAAAAAATGTTACGAACAGACAAAGGCAATGTTACCCAAAATACCTTCCCCTTTAAAAATTTATCTCAGTACTAACAACCTTGGATTCCACTCAATCCCCTCCTCCAGAAATGAATCCAGGTGTTTCTCAAGCGGTTAATATGCTCACTTCCTTTTGCATGATATAGTTATGCTGGTATTCCCAATTTACTCTAATTTTCAGGTTGTTTCCTCTGCTCTTCTCAGCAATAAATATATGTCTATTGACTATACCCCTTACATGATGCTTAGAATTTATGTGGTTACACCTCGGTCTCTTCTGTTTTGCAAAGAGAATCAGTTTGTTTAATCCTTCCTCACAATTTAGATACTTCAGACTGGGTATCATTTTAGGTGCCCTATTCTGCATTCTATCCCAGACAATCAGCTCTTTCCCCAGGGGACAAACCTGAACAAATTATTTCAGGTACATTGACAGGGTACTAATATCATCTGGGTTTTTTACCATCATACTCTCTTCTAATAACTTACTACAGAGTTTATTGTCCCTTTAAGGACTGTTGTGCCCACTTTTTGTTTGATCTCAAAATGAAAGAGTTCTGACTGAAGGTATTTCTTGCCAAAAATCTGAAGTTGGGTCCAAATTACATTTCTGAAGCTCCAATTCAAAACTGCTTAATTTGGTTTATTTATATCTGTGTTTGTACTTAAAGTAAATATTAATTTTACAAATATATCTGGATATACTACCTATTCTGATAAAAGAAGTTTCAGCCCAAATCATTTGAAACACATACACCCCACTAAAATAAAAACTACACAGTGGAAGCAGACTGAGCCTTGACTATGCAAACAGATGATTTTTCCAATCATCAACACAAGAGAACTTCGCTAATTAACATTAATTGATCATTACTGAATTTTGTGAACTAGCAAGTGAACAAAAACAATAGAAAAGCAAGGATTATACATCACAAAATATACTTTGTTCATTTATTTTCTCAAATGTAGTTTAGCTGTAATTATTTATGACATTTCATACTATACTGATAAATATATGGTATTTTGTAAAAAAAATCTTTTCAATGTGAAACCTCACTATACCATTGGCTAATAAATATTTGGTTCTATTATAGTTGTTTTACTTCAGAACTTTTCCTTTTGTAGCTTGGAAACTGTTGTATTTATATTTAAAACCTTTAATAGGTTTTGTTTAAAAGGTGCATACATAGTACAAAGAGAAAAATCTAAATAAATTGGTGCATATTGATCAGTAAAAACTAAAATATTATATTAAAAAAAGTTAATAATTGGATTATTTTGAAACAGTGAAAGAAGAATGAAATAGCTAATGGATTGATTCAGTGTATCAGGAATACCACAATAAAGCATTCTCATGTCAGTGAAAAAAACACTCCTTCCCCCACAAAAAAACCCCTCTTTTGCATACTTTCCAAATGTCCAGCTTTCTCCTCTAGTGGTAATATGTTGTATGCGTTATGTTAACAGAACATTTTTTTCTAGTTAGTTTGATCCTCTCTCTGGTGTTTATAATGCAATATGAAGAAAAACTGGGAAATGAGGGAGAAGAAATTAGAGCACAGACAATTTAATAAAACAACAACAAAGTATCTCACTAATCAACAAAAATACAAAAACTATAATATATTCTTCTGGAATGCTCTGGATGGATTGAGGAACAGACACCATTAGTTATAGACAACATTCACAAAACAATAACATACATAAATAGAACATAGAAAGTTAACCTGTAGAAATCATGAACCCATCAAAAAGTTTAAAAATGTGACATTTAAATTTCAAAACTATTAAAGAAGAACTCTGATAAATTAATTGAAAGTTCAATAAAAGGTTTTTAAAAAACCTGATTTGAAATTTCTGAATTTTTCTTTATGAGTATCTAAATTTCAAAATGACAAAAGAAGCTACTCTTGGAAAATAGATTGTGTAAAAATGTGATTCTGTTCATATATTAAAATTGTTCAATACTGCTAGAAATCAGTGCCCAGATAGTGTTTGGTACTATACAAATGCCCAAGACAGAAAGTTGGAATGCATTCAAGTAATTTATGCTTAAGAGTGCTGCACGTGTGAAGTCCAGTTTCCAACCTGATATTTTAATTATCCACCACAATGAACATAAATTTGGACTTCATCCTTTTGATATATTTTGTAAGAGTTTCATAACATTTCTCCTATGCCTAGTTAATCTGTTATGGTCTTCTGAAAAGTTGATTCCATGTTTAAACAAAAAAAAACAAAAACAAAAAAATATTCAATGAGCCAGATTACAGGTATATTTCGTGTAGCGTTCTTTTTATTTTCATGCAAAAATATATGCACACTTAACACCCTTTGATTTTGACTTACTTACAAGATTTAAATTCAATCCCTTTATTCTCAACTGATTTTATAACAATTACTGAATATTTTCAATTACATTAATCTCCAAAATGCACAGACAATGTGCAGCAGGAAATGCAGCAAGCCTCAAAAACAAGGTGCTACACCGTTGCTTCTACATCAAGAGACAGACAAGTAGCTGGGAGAGTGGTTTAATTTTAACACTTATACAGACATACAGCTATACCTAGAGAGAGACAGACAGATTTAAGAAAGCAGCTACATCTGCAGAGGAAGGAAACAGCATGTTACAAGGACAATTCAAGGAAGTCAATTATACATAGAACATTTGACAAACAACACAGAGAACAAACTTTGGCATTAATTCCCAGGGTACAAAACACAGCACACGTCAATCTGTCAATGAAGTGAAAAACAAAGCTCAGCAGCCTGCAGCTGTTTGTTAATACTAGCATCAAAGAAGTATTTGACATTTAAAAATTAAAACTAGTAACATCTCTGTAATAAAACTATTTAAATGAAAAGTGGACAAGTAAAAAACGAAGAATTACATTGCACTTTCTGTAATGTAATGCCCAAATGACTCTAGATTCCATTATCAGCTCTATACAGTCACCCCACAACTGAGACACTTGTGCCACCTGAAAGTTTTTAAATTAAGGAAGCTCAGACTGACAATACTGGTCTAACACTACTAAATATTTGCTTTTAGTTTTATACCCTGGTTAGGTATCCATTTCACATTGCCTGATTAACATATAACACTATGTTTATCTCAGCCGCTAAGACAAGAACTGAAAAGCATTAGAAATTCCCTGCATGCATTATGTGTAGTGTTAGCAAAAGAGTGAGATGTGGCCCAGTCCATCTGAGGCACAGCAAGTTGCATAACATCATTACCACTTTGTAGCGTCTGACGTCCTCCGGCCAACACTCCACTAGGTAACATTCCAGTGGGAGTCAAACCCTTGAGTGTCAGCACACTTTCACTCTCCTCCCTATAGTGGAAGAAAAGCAATGAGTTTCTTTACTATAAAGCCACTTAAATAAGAATTTAAATAAAATAAGGAAAAATATATTTTGCTGTTTCTTCCATGTCACGATTTAACACAGCTCAAACTTCAAAGGATTAACAATGGGCAAACTTTCCAACCTGGAGAAGAAATGATCTGCTAGATACTAGTTTGCGGGTCTGTCTTTTCCTCTGTCTAGAACTGAATACATATGCAAAATAATTATCGGACAGACTGCTTGCCCCTTTTTTACATGCGTGGTCTTATTTGCTTTAATTAAACTACCCCTAAGAGTAACAGCTCATCAGTGTGATCAAGTGGCTCACAGTCTGGCCCAAAGATTCTGTAAGTCTTCGGGGGGAGGAAATCAAGTTTGAACAATAATACCTATTTGAGCTATGTTGTTTTTTGGGCAAAAGCACACTTTGGAGTAAATTTGATTATGCCCGAATCATAGGCAGCTACAGAAGTGTACTGTGTTAAAATCTGTGACAGAACAATCCTGAGCTTCATGACATTTTCCTAACCAGCCCCAATTCCCTTTGTTATACAACTGTCATTTTGATATCTGTTCATAAGGTACGGACAGGCAGACATCTGTAATTAGGACACAGTAATTAGCTGTTTGATTAAAAAGAGAGACATGCTCTACTTTTTCTAGGTCTCAAAGATAACTTTCAAAATAAAAACATTCTCTCTCCAAATACCCCAAAACTAAATCTTTTAAAATAACCTGTGAAGCCAGAATTTTAACTAAGCTATTGCTTATGGGTCTGCATAAAGAACATTTCACATCCCATGGGCCTGGATTAGATTTTTCTCTTCCAATTTAACAGGGTTACTGGGGAGAGACAGAATGTGTAATTACCTCAGAACAGAGAAGACTCTTGCCATCTTGCCAATTGCACGTATTTTGTTTCTGATTATTTCTTTTCGTGCTGCAGCTGTACCTACTTTCAATGGAATAAAAGTAGGTCTCAAGCTCATGAAGAGAGGGCCACAATTCTATACAACATACTATTCTATTAATTCAGTACAACTTTGTAAATTCAACTACTCTCCTAAGAGAAGTCCAACACCCAAAACATTTAAGTGTGCGCTGATTATAAAAGGTTTCAGAGTAGCAGCCATGTTAGTCTGTATCCGCAAAAGAAAAAGGAGTACTTGTGGCACCTTAGAGCCTAACCAATTTATTTGAGCATAAGCTTTCGTGAGCTACAGCTCACTTCATCAGATGCATTCGTGCTCACGAAAGTTTATGCTCAAATAAATTGGTTAGTCTCTAAGGTGCCACAAGTACTCCTTTTCTTTTTGCTGATTATAAACCTGGCCTTGCTCACCTTAAGAGGCCAGTAAAACCAATGCCTCATCCACAAAATCTAGTTATCAAAACTACTGATACTGTAGCTTTCACAACTATCACGTTTCATTCTCATGGCTTTTCGATTACTAAATTCTTCACTGATACCTGAATCAATTACAAGCCCTACCAGCACAACATAGCGGCAGCTGACATGTACAAGACACAAAAGGTCACCATTCTGGTACTGATTCTTTGCCAGACTGAACTAGTCAAGGGTAGACAGCCTTTCTGCATAGGCTTCCGAAACAACACACACACACACAAAGAGAGAGACAGACAGACACATACACATACACACACACACACACACAACAAAACAAAACCAAAGAGTTCAGTGGCAGAGGTCTGCAGAGTCAGCTGGAATAGGTGAGGATTCCTTTACCTCCCAATTCTAGGGACTATCTATTTTTGCTTGTAAATTTGCACCATTTGCAGGAATTACCATTACCAAAGGACTGGAATAAATGCTGCACGTTCCACAGAAGAGAGTGACAGATTGGTTGGGAAAGATATAAATGCAAACAAAAATTACCAAGGAGGCTTTGGAGTGGGAAAAGGAGGGCCATCACTACCTCCTTTTGCTCCGCTACAGCGCAGGAGCTCCCTCCTCATCCCTACCATTTATTTTGGTTTAGTTTATTGTGGGCAGAAGGAAGGCCCCACAGCTAGTTTTTTCTTTCCCTTGTTGACCCTCAAATGGAGAGATCAACACCATTAAAGCTATGGTCACTTCCAAAGTCTCCTCTGAATATTCAATCATCTGGGGAAGAAATCATCCACACTGTGGTACATGGAGACATAGCCATATGTTGCACTCAAGCAAGGCAGGCCAAAAGGTGGAAGGTGAACTTGGAATGCTATATTATATATTCCACACCTTCCACAACCCAAGTGCAATACAATTATTAATCTGAAACACATTTAGCAATATTATTATTCTCCAAGAGATCCACATAACTATTATAAATACCACATGAAACTGATGTGTTCATTACTACTTAAAATATTTCCTGCTAATGACAGGTACAGACCTCAAATATTTTGTTGAACAAATGATCATATAATCTAATCAAAAATATTTCTGAACAAAAGTGTCTACAGTTTGGGATTTGGGAAAATGTTTGTTAGCTACTATAGATTTAAGTTAATAGATCCATTTTCAACCATCATATCAACACCTCTGTAAAACTGCACAGCATACATATTACTTTTTTCCATGTAAAACTAGTTAGAAGACGCTAAATGTACCATACAAACAAGATTTTGGAACATTTTCTAAACGTATTTCATGCACAATTTTGAAGTAAAATGTTCACACTAAAAATCATTGTAAAGAACAATGCAAACTGAATGCTCCCTACACATGCAGGTCCAAAGATAAAATATTAGAGACAGATAAAAGAATGAAATTCAGTAAAAAAGAGGAATGGAAGAAAGGAGAAATCTTCATGCACAGAAAGACAAATGTCTTGGAATAGGACTTCTGATTACATGAATACAAATCTTTATAAATATTTTTAACACACTGAGAATAAAACAAAAACTCTACATCTGTATATCAGTATATAAATGTGTTCTGTACTACTAACATTCATACTATGCATCTATGAAGTCATATTTCAAAACATTACTATTCTGTCTGATCTGTACCTTTTTTATTGCCATATGAGAGTTGTACTTCAGATAGAGTGCAGAAAAAAAAAAAGAAGTGAACGATGGAGAAAAAAGTGAGTGAGACAAATTAAAAAAAAACCCAAAGGTATTTTACCTGGAAGTGCTAATAAAGAATGAATTTGGAAAAGAAAAGTGAAGGAAATTAAAAATTGCCACACTTAAATTAGTTGAATAAAAAGTGGAAAATGTTGGATACATTTTACAATTCTGATAAACAAGGAAAATTTGTCAAGTATTCGGAGAATCTATTTATGAAGAGAAGATAGAATAGATCAAGCAAAAAATACAAAAAAAATCAAAATTAGGAAATAGTTCAACTACTGGACTGAAGAGGGAGCATAATAAATGCTGAGTGAGTCTCTGCTGGAGAAACTAAATGAAAGCCTGCCATTTTAGAGAATGAAATAAATCACTTAAGCATGTGAGTATTCCACCCCCACCCCACCCCAAATGCAACAGGATTACTCATGTGAGTAACACTGCATGTTGAAGTGTTTGTAGGATCAGGACCTAGGGCTGTATTTTTAATTTTCAAGTTTCTGGCAACAACATAAATGCCAGGAAAGTTCAGGTAGCTCATACAGATAATCAAAACCTTCAAGACATGAAAATACAGCTTTTATCTACTGTACAAATTTATTTGTTACTGTTTTTAATATAATAAGTAAGGATTAAATTCTGAAGCCCCAAAAACAGAGACAGCATCAAGAAGGGTTTTTAGATAACAATTACTGTTTATCCAAGTGTAGTATCAAATCAACTCTATTCTTCAGGTAAAGTAAATTCTAGGAATTTTTGAAGATGTTTTGTTGAACAGTACAGTAAATAATATTATTTAACAAGATTATATTATATTACAAATATAAAAATACTATCTAAAGAAAAAACCAAGACAATATAATTTTTTCCAACATATAATACAATTGGTCAAAGTCTCAACCACTACTTTAGAAACGTTCCCATGAAAATATAGTACTTGAGATATAAAGGTGACCTTACCGTCAAATTGATCTTCTCCCTCAGTCATTAATTCATCATCAGAGCAAATGCTCAGAACATTCACCAACATTTCTGTTACTGTGTTGAAAAGAATAATAATGAATTAACTGACTGTACATTGCTATATATATTAATTCATACGTGAGGTGTAACAAATTGTCTGCACTTATGGCTGACAAAATTTCCCACCCCAGTATGTATTTTTTTCAGCTGCTCAGCAATATGCTCTCCCAGACAGACACACTTTTCCTAATGTGTATATTCATGGAATGTAACATAAAATATGATGCTAAGGTAACACCACTGTTCAAAGACAGAGTGCTGGAATAGCATCACAGACTTCCCTCTTTTCCCACACCCATGGTCCAGAATTAGTTCTTTTTAGAAAGGATCTCCTTTCATAAGTAATGATATTTCTACATTCAAGCAATCTTGAATCTGATGAGAAACCAATAAACTCTCAGCTGTAGTTTGTACAAAAGCTGATCAATTCAGACTAAATTTTGAACAGTTAGCTAGTATCATTAAAATAAAAAGTGGTTCTAAATGCAGCCTTTGGAGGATGAGATTTCCAGTCTCCCCGATTAACCACAACATGGTGCAACAGGAGAAGGGATGAGAGAGAAAACCAGTAGGGGAAATGGAACCCAATATTTAAAAATATTTTTTATGTTTGTGACATGGATAAATGCCAACATTATTTTTCAGTTGATAGAAAAATTAATGGACACTACAAGCAAAAACACCTTGCTCTGTTAAAAAGCATGATGGACCACCCCTTTCAAGTGCTTGAAAAGAGTGTCCTTAATGTAAAAAGCTGTGAATCTGCTACAATTACTCTTTTAGGAAGTTACCTTGCAATTCCATGCAAATGTATAAATGACAAGAAAAAAAAAAGAAAATTGTGAACCTTTCAAAGTATTTAGTGAAGGCACACAGAGGAGAAAAAAAGCATTAAGCAGATTTTCAAATAATCTTTAAAGTGTATGGGGAACTCTTCACATGAATTTGGAATACCCTATATTAATAAAATGACAAATCATTTTAGGGATCTCTCTAGTACTTATTACTGTATCAGCTAATGAAGCCAAGCTAAATCAAATCATTTCAGATGGTGCTTCACTGACTACTTAGCAAACAAAGGCTAATCTACATGGCAAAATGCTAGCAGCAGTGCGTAGGGTATGTGTAACTACATTCAGCAGCAAAAATCAGGCTGCACCCACACTGCAGTGTGTACCTACACATGTTAGTAAAAGGTGCTAGGGCAGAAGGGAGGCAACAGGGAAAGGCTCAGCAGCGGGGAAAATCTACCAGAGCCTTTCCCCTCTGCTGGAATGTTTCTCTGCAGCAGGGAAAATCTCTGGCAGCTCTTTGCTCCCGAAGTCTTTCCCCACCACAGGGAACTGCTGGAACCTTTCCCTGCAGTAAGCAACAGCTCTGGTAGCTCACCACTCCAGGTGCCTTTCCCTGCATTGGGGAAAGGCTACTGCAGCAGCAGCAGGGAGCCTTTCCCCACTGCTTGAGTCTTACCCTGCAGTGGGGAAAGACCCTAGCAGAGAGGCACTACACTACTAAAAATAGCAGTGTGAGGTGCAGCAAGGGCACACTGTTTGGGTGAACAGTGTACATGTCTGGGTACAGTCATACTCACAAGATTCAGGTATGTCCTTACTCTACTTGCCTAAGCAGTGCCTCACTGCCTAGACTGCTATTTATACCCATCTAGCTCTGCATGTAATGTATGGACTCTACACTCCTTTAAAGGCAGTGTGCTGTGTAGACTAACCTAAAGAGAAATCCCCTTGCACAAATTCTACAACAACAAACTTAATTTTCTCAACCAAGACAATCTACCTTAATGAGCAACAAAAAACCCCACAATCTTTACCCAAGTAGTAGGTACTCTCATTAAAAGAATCTCAAGAGTAAAGAAAGATCATTTGTCAAAAGTCAAACATGTTTGTATGCAGTGTTGTTGTAGCCATATCAGTCCCTAGATATTAGAGAGACAGAAAGTGGGTGAAGTAATGCCTTTTACTGGACCAACTTTTAATGGAGAGAGAGAGAGAGCGCGTGCACACACACACACACAAGCTTTCGAGCTACACAGAGTTCTTCTTCAGGTCTGAGTGCCTTTCCCAGAGCATTAAAGCTGAGTGCAAGATCAAACAGATATGTGCTATTTATGCTAAACTATCAGCTCGATCTTGTACTTGGCTGTGACACTCGGGAAAGGCACTCAGACCTCTGTGTAGCTCGAAAGCTTGTCTCTCTCACCACCAGAAGTTGGTCCAATAAAAGATATTACCTCACCCACCTTGTCTCCCCAAACATATTTGTAAGCAGAATGGCTTGACAGTTTGCAAGAAATTTAAGATGAAAGTAATGGGCAATGAATTATTATTCTCCCGCACCTTACCTCCCAACTTTCTTGAGTCAGTGATTGGGGGAATTGAGAAATGCTCGTCATATGCCTCAAACTGTACTAGTGGTATAACTGAAAACACACATTATCAGGGTCAAAGATAGAGAGGTCCAGATGCCCAGTCAGTTTACTGGCAAACTGGCATTATGCTGATTTACACAACAGAGGATCTGGCCCTGACATTTAGTGAGAGACTGGTCCAAAGTGTGACTAACAATTCACTAGAGTCTTAGTAATTATTTTTTCTTTAAATCTGTCACTTTGTTTTTTTAACTGGCAATAATCACACACACAACTTCACTACAACAAAGCTTTGAACCTGCACTATGAAAGAGTATGGGGACATAGCTTAATATATAAAAATGTACAAGTCTCATTTTTTAACTTTTGCCAATGCAAATACTGTAGTTTTAAAAGGAAACACGTTGTGGAAGTATAATGAAACACCTATATTTTGATACCAACTAAAGTTGTAAATCCTTTTAAGAACTGAATAGTTTTACCAATTGCTCTACAAATATTCCCCTAATGTACAGTTATAAATATGTTTCACTGCTGTTTAAAAAAGTAAATTTTAAGCTCTGAATATATCCATTGTATGTAAAATGTGAAATTACACACAGTCAACCATTACTTCCACATAAATGTAGAAGGCAGCATAAAAGGAAAATAAGTAATATATTTCCTAAATAGAGTGCAATGTAATTGTACATCAACAAATACGTATTAGAGAAATTACAGCATTATTTACTGTTATTTGCAAAGTGCCTACAATGTGCTTGGCACTGTGTAAGATAAGATACATTATACTCTCATACAACAGAAGTCCTTTAAATCACAAAGACTCAAAGTCCAGAATTTCCACATTTGTTCCTGTGGGACAACAGACACGTAAACTCCTCTGACAGATTTTAAAAGTAAATTTAAACAACATTACACTACTTTAGGCATACTAAATATGCAAAATCCTCTGCTAATAATTTAAGGCAAGAGGCAGACTTAAAAACTGACGAAGAAAGTTTGATTTTCTGCATCAGGGTTTCCCATTATTATATTTTTAAAATATTCAGAGAGCCCAATGTTTACACATTTTATAAAAAGACATTCCCTGACCCAAAAATCCTCTACAATTCAACACAAAGATGTGCTACCACTCTTCATGTAATTTTTTTAAAGTTACCATATACCTCATTAAATTTTCATACCCTTCTCTGTATATCCTTACATATCAATGGTGAGGTATGCATAAGTGAGTGCATGTATCGGGTAGGGTGAGAGAGACATTTTCTATGCATTATTTAGAAACCACACAAACACTTTGAAATATCAAGGTTGGGGACAGTTTAGCTTTTTTTTAAAAAAAATGCCAACAGTTACATTAAAACAAATGAGCAGCATGGCTCAAGTATAGCACAACTATTACAGCATCCTTCTCTACAAAGCTGTAACCCAAAATCTGACGTTCTTGCATGTTACCCCAGAATGTGACAGTACTGCAGCAGTCAGCTATTTTGTGTGTTCAGTTACTGCTAGCTGAAAATCAAACATCACATAGCTAGGAATAATTTTAGGCCCAGGAGCATAGCCGGGCAGCTGCATGTCTGCAGTTCTGCTAATCAAAATGGAAAGAATGTTTGGACAGCCAACCTTGGTTTTAGGTGCCTGACACAAATTTTATTATTGTTATGACTAGAAATGCTTTGATAAGAAATGAGTAGGTTGCTGAAACTAGGAGAATTGGTGATCCATCAGGGCTTACTATGGTGATCCACTAGGAGTCACTATGAGTTATGTGATTTAAATTAGTGTGACAAAGTTCCTCCTCTGCCTTGGTGGGTCCTGCACTTATTGGCGGATCTGCTTGCCTCAGAGATTCACGGCAGCCCTCAGTTTGGCCACTTTTCCTAGTGGCTCAACCCTGCTGTTCACTCAGCTAACCTCACCACTGACCAGCATGGGGAAAAGGAAGGAGAACAATCCCCACAGTCTCCGCTGGTCCACCTAGTGGGTCAGGCCAGGGACCTTCCCCTCTGGTGGGACCCACAGTGCAGGTCAACTCCTCCTGTATCCAATAGAGAGTTGGGGGGCGGATGGAGGGAACCCGGGCCCGCCCTCTACTCCAGGTTCCAGCCCAGGGCCCTGTGGATCACAGCGGTCTACAGTGTTGTGTGTAACACCTGTGTGACAGCTACAACTCCCTGGGCTACTTCCCCATGGCCTCCTCCCAACACCTTCTGTATCCTCACCACAGGACCTTCCTCCTGATGCCAGATAGCGTTTGTACTCCTCAGTCCTCCAGCAGCACACCCTCTCACTCTCAGCTTCTTGCATGCCCCTCACTGACTGAAGTGAGGTCCTTTTTAAACCAGGTGCCCTGATTAGCCTGCCTTAATTGATTCTACCAGCTTCTTAATTTGCTCCAGATATCCTAATTAGCCTGTCTGCCTTAACTGGTTCCAGCAAGTTCCTGATTGTTCTGGAATTGCCCATTACCTTACCCAGGGAAAAGGGACCTGCTTAACCTGGGGCTAATATATCTGCCTTTATCACTCTCCTGTAGCCATCTGGCCCCAGCTGGGGTCCCGGGCGCCGGCACCACTCAGCCAGCTGCCGGTCTGGGGTTCTGTCAGGGGCCCCCTGTAAATGTAAAATTTATTACTGGCATGCAAAACCGTAAATTAATGAAGACTTGGCACGTCACTTCTCAAAGGTTGCCAACCCCTGTGCTACAGCTTATGTGTGTGTGTATGCACTTGAGACCTAATAAAGAGCAGTTTTAGATAAAAGTACTCTTGTTTGTATCAATCATTTATCAGAAGGGGAGCTGTGTCCCTACTTGGATTTATTGCTTATACTGCCTGAAACAGGTAAGATATCACTGCTCCAGGTTCTGAAAACCCTGGGTAACAAAGCCTGTGAGCAAGAACCCCAAAAGTGATCCTGATTCGGGTCTCCTGATTGAAGAATGGACAGCCCCAAAAGCAATATCAGCCAGCCAAAACCAAGTACACCGGACCCCCGCTAGAACGCGGGATTTGGGATCCATGCGCAGTACCGCATTAACATGGGGACCACGTTATAGCGCGGACCACATTAAAATGAACTGCAATTAATTAAATTTGGGATCCATGGCCATGACCGCATTATATGCGAATTCTCGCTATACAGACGTGCGTTCTAGCGAGGGTCCCGTGTACATGGCTTTTTAAATGTAATATATTTTTTAAATATCTTCTTTAAACAGTTTTTTTTTCTATATCAAGAATTCAGAATGGTCAACAGTAAAATGGAGATCATTTATATTTTGGCATTTTCTCAACTTTAATTATGGTCTCAAATGAAACTCAATTTTACAAGTACACAAAATTTATCTACAATAGTAGAAAGGCAATGGACCATACGGTCTTTGTTTTCTCACAAACACTATGATAATTTTAAATGGATTTTGCCATAAATTTCTTCCAATTGGCAAAGTCAGATTTAACCTTTGGTTAAAATGTCAAAGTGTGTGCATTTCTGAAAGCCAACAGAAAGAAAATACAAGGGCCTTTACTAACCTGCACTGTGGTTGCAGCAGTGAGCATATGCTGGCTGAACAAAAATAATCTGGTTTAATAGCAACCTTATCTAACTACCAGCCTCTCAAGTATCTCTTATCCTTTTCAACTACCTGAAAGGGGGTTCCAAAGAGGATGGCTCTAGACTGTTCTCAATGGTATCAGATGACAGAACGAGGAGTAATGGTCTCAAGCTGCAGTGGGGGAGGTTTAGATTGGATATTAGGAAAAACTTTTTCACTATGAGGGTGGTGAAACACTGGAATGCGTTACCTAGGGAGGTGGTAGAATCTCCTTCCTTAGAGGTTTTTAAGGTCAGGCTTGACAAAGCCCTGGCTGGGATGATTTAACTGGGAATTGGTCCTGCTTTGAGCAGGGGGTTGGACTAGATGACCTTCTGGGGTCCCTTCCAACCCTTATATTCTATGATTCTAAGTAAGCAAAATCAAGTAATTTCCCAAACACTGAAAGGTTAAAAATAATCCACATTTTCATGAGCAGCAGCCACCACTTAAGTGTCCTACAAACTGTATAAATAAGAACTATACATTTATTGTACTTAATAATCAATTGTCCAAAAGGTCACTATATAAACTGACGATTCTTAACATTTAGATTTCATCACATAATTACATATGAACAGAAAACTCCTTCCAACTCTTACTCTTTCTTTTATTTGAAATCCATAAAGTAATTTGCAATATACACTGAGCATATTAAAAAAAAGTCTAAACCATCTGATTGCAATTTCCCTCAGAAGGTATTATTAACCCAAATCTAGAGTCCTGCGTTTATGCAACTGGTCTCAGGAGTACTTTTCAGATACATTTGAAGAGGTTTCTACAACCCCTTCACCAAGGTACTATAGCATATATTGGTGGGAATTTAAATAGGACAACTTAATGTCCAACCATGACTGCTCTGATTTTTACTTAAACCTACCTGGAGCCCAATTGTCCTAAATTTAAAATTACCAGCTCTGGAGGGAGGGAGGTGAATGGGGATATCTATTAAATTGTATTTTAGGAGAACAATGATATGTAAATTGCCCTTCATCAAAGGTAAATCTTCTGAGCATTACAGAAAGTTAAAAGAACATCCATCATAACTAGACAATATTTAAGAATTCTACACAATTAAGATTAGGAAAGTAAATTATTCTGTAGAGTGGAAACAGTTTATTGAAATTGTGTGTTGATTCAGAGAGATACTTCAGAAGGAAGGCGGTTTTCATTAAACTATGCAGACAAGTGCCTTAATCTCTTCTAAACGTTTCCATTCCCTCCTCTGCTCCATCAGACAAAAATCAAGCTACCTCAGCCAAAAGCAGGGGGAGCAGAGAACCAACAGCTGTAGACTACCTCATGTCCCAGATCACCATCCTTCATGGACATGCTACAGCACTTTCACATGGGGACTTACAAAACCTTGCAAAAGGTCTTTGGGGACAAGCGTTCACAAGTCTGCACCCTACTTAGACAAACAAAGGAGTAGGTGGCAATGATGAACATAGTTCCTTGAGAGAAGTCATACACTTAATTTCTCTCAGGTAAATATAAACCTGCAACACCCATACAAAACACAAAGACTTTATGAGTTTGCTTGTACAGCATAGTTCTGTACCTTTTTCTCCAACAAATGGCAATGACCACGTAAAGACATCCATAAAATTTGGTAACCAATAAGGATGTGGAGAACAATTGAACTGTCGAATATTCATCACATTATTTTCATATTTTAACACAGCAGCTGCAAAACAACATTTAGAAATTAAGGCAAGAATTTTTATCCTTAACACTAAGTATAATAAAAACAAAATCATCAGGAAGATTCGATTATCTTTTCCCATATGTACGGTTATATTACACCTTATGTAAAAATATATGCAAGACACTATGATCCTTCACTCATGATTACAATGGAACATATTTCTAACAGAGAACTTTGTTATATGAAAAATCACTTTATGTTGCAATTTAGAAGAGGTACATTTTAAGGAGAATACGAAATTCCACTGATACTTAACTTAATAATGGACACAAAGGAAAAACTACTAAAAGTGCCATTTCAGGTATTGTCACAAACAAACATTCAACTCAAAAACAACAGTATAACTGGCTCCAGATTTTTTATTATTCCACATTTTAAATCAACTGACTACTGGCTAAACATTCACAATCAAATTTCAGTTTCTTTTCATCACCTTCAAAGCTCTGCCTACCTCTGTACCCTCCTTACTTACAATGCCTTGTCAAGCCTCAGGCTGCCCTCCACCTGCTTCCAACTTTGTCCCACTGTTTTAGCTTCTCTTACAATTATTTCCATGCCTCCTTCCACACAGTATGGTACTACATCCCATAGCTCATCTGCATGGTCCCTGCCCTGTCCACATTTGAAAGCTTACTTTTACAGTGTGGCTTGCCACGAATTGAGCTGACTCGTATATAAATTGCCTACTACTGGTTCCTCTGCCTCTAACCTCTATTTCTCAGCTTGTATTTACAATGTGAACTCCTGAGAGCACAGAGCATCCCAGCCAGTTTGGAAAGCACTCAGTGGGTGTAACAATCTGTATGAGAGGGTTCCTCACTTTGTGCAGTAAATGAGGTTCTTCGAGATGTGTCCCCCTGTGGGTGCTTCACTTCAAGTATTAGAGATTTACAGGAGCAGTATCTGCACAGGTCATGCGTGCGCAGTAGATGTCTCATGGTGCCGTTGCTGCCTCATCTAGAGTGCGTGCAGCCCAATCCCTCCAGTTCCTTCTCTACTGTGAAGTCCTTTCTGCCAACTCCAAAGTAGGGGGGACGAGGGTGGGCAGTGGAGCAGCCACAGGGGAACACATCTTGAAGAACCTCAGTTACTGCACAAGGTGAGTAACCCTCTCCTTCTTTGAGAGATGTCCCTGTGGGTGCTCCACTTCAGGTGACTGTAGAGCAATGCCCCTCAGAGGTTAGGAAGGACTTTGGGTTCGCTTGTATTGTAGAGGCAAGTACAGTTAGGCCAATTATGGCATCAGGCCTTGAATGATTGCATAACGATCAGTAAACATATGGACAGAGGCTCAGGTAGTCGCTCTACATGTCTCTCTTACAGGTACATTGTTTAGAAATGCTATTGAGGTCAATACAGAGCATGTAGAATGGGATCTGATGTTCTCAGGAGGTTCTGTATTGTGTGTTTGGGTAACATTGTTGAATACAGGTGGAGATCCATTTAGATAGTCTGAGTGGATATAGCACTGCCTTTTGAACGTTCGGTCATGGACACAGTCTCAGGGACTTTCAGAAAGTGTTCTAGTTAGACAGAACCAAGCCTAACACATGTCTAACACCTAATATATGCACAATGGTTTCATTTGGATTCCCGTGTGGTTTATGGTAAAACATGGGAAGGTGAATTGGTTGGTTTATATGAAAGGGTGACGATATTTTCAGTAGGAACTTTGGGTGGGGTCGTAACGTGACCTTGTCCTTTAAGAATATTGTGTAGGGAGGATCAGCCAAAAGGGCCCCTATCTCACTTATTCGTCTGGCGTAAGCAATAGGTGACTAAAGGTTCAAATGGCGGTCCAGTGATGCATTTCAATACCAGGTTTAGATCCCATGCCAGAGTGGGTTGGCGAACCTCTGGGTAAATGTTCTGTAGAGCGGTGAGGAAGGGTTTAGTAATTGGATGCACGAATATCAAGGTCCCTTTGATCCCATGACTGAATGCTGTAATGGCCGCGAGATGCACTTTGATCGAGTTTGTTGCAAGACCCGAACGTTTTAACTCCAATTTGTAGTCCAGCACTAGTGGTGCTGTAGTGGCAGTCAACTGTTTTTCTTGACACCATGAGGAGAATCTTTTCCATTTCTGAGGGTAAGTTTTATGCATGGCTGATTTCCTGTCGTTTAGTAATACGTGTTTGACTTGTTCCAAACAGGCTAACTCACCATAATGGAATCATGCAGAAGCCACGCTTTCAGGTAGAAGTTTCTCCAGATTTGGGTGTAGAGTGCAACTATTGTTCCATGACAGAAGGTCTGCCCGAAGAGGGAGAACTCGTGGGGCGCATATCGCCATGTGTATCGGGTAATGATAAGAACATGGCCTGTCTGGCCCACATCAAGACTATCCGGATGACCTTAGCCTTTTCTATTCGTATCTTGCGTATTACTTGGGGGATCAAAGGGATCAGTAGGAATGCGTACATGAGTGTTGCATCCTATGGGATGAGGAAGGCATTTCCCCGTGATCGGGATCCCATCTCTGCTCTCGAGCAGAATAGTGGGCATTTGTGGTTTGTTGGGGATACGAACAAGTCGAAGGGGGGAGATCCCCATCGTTGGAATATGGATTGGAGGACTACATCTTCATTTCCCATTCGTGCTCCCAAGAAAAGTGTCTGCTTAACGTGTCTGCTGTCGAATTCTGGCAGCCGGGAAGGTAGGAGGTTAAGATGTTTATTATGTGGTGAATGCACCAGTTCCACAGTTTCATGGCTTCAGTGCATAGTGAATGTGATCGGGCTCCTCCTTGGCGACTGATGTAAAACATGCAGGTAATGTTGTCGGTCATTATGCGAATTGATTTGTTCTTTATCAGTGACAGGAAATGTTTGCAGGCATTGTGTACCATGCACAGCTCGAGTAGACTGATGTATAAGTGGGTCTTCTCGTCAGACCATTTGCTTTGAACCGTGTGTTGGTTCACGTGGGAGCCCCACCTATCAGGGATGTATCTGTCATGATCATCATCAGGGGAGGGTCCTACTGGAAGGGGATGCCCATGCATACATTTTCTGGTCTTGTCCACCAGTGTAGAGAGTCCAAGACTTTTGGCGGAACTGTTAGTCGTTTGTGGAGGCTGTGCTTGCTGGGTACGTATCAGCCCTATAGGCAGTGTATACACATACATATATACACACACACACACACACACACACACAGCGTATAGAGCTCAATCAGCCCTATAGGCAGTGTATATATAGTCTTGCGTGTCCTACCACAAATGTTGTGGCTGCCATGTGATCTACTAGTTGTAGTCCTATTCATGCAGGTTTTTGGGGGCTGCTGCTGATTACCGATATAAGGTTTGTTGTTGTGAATCTGCTCAGAAGCAAAGATGCTTTGGCCTCTATGGTGTCAAGGTGTGCCCCCAATGAAGACCAGTTGTTGTACAAGAATTAAGGCTGATTTTTATTCATTTATCCGCAACCCTAGATTCCTGAAGAATGCAACTGTCTTCTGGACCATTTATATTGCTTCTTGTTGAGTCGAGCTCTTGAGGAGACAATCATTTAAGTATAGGAAAATCATTATCCCTCATTTGTGTAAATGTGCTGCCGCTACCGCAAGAGTTTTGGAGAAAACTCTTGGTGTGGTGGACGGGCCGAACAGTAGTACTCTGTATTGGAAGTGATAGTTTCCCACTGTGAAATGGGTGGTGCCGTTTTGGATTTTCCCATCAGGGTGCTGACTGCACCGTTGGTGCCGGAAGTGGAGGCATGGTTCCTGGGGAAGTCTCGGCACAGTGTCCCTCACCAGTGAGGTTGGTGCCATGGAGGAGACATGTCTATTTTTAGGCCTCGACTCAGTCTCTTTGTGGTGGGGCTTGGCAGAGGTCTCAGTGTGGATGGTGCCAGAGGTGCCCGAAGCATCAAAGGTGCTCACCCATGCAGTTGTCAGCATCAGAGTAGCGACCTGGCAGGAGACTGCCTTTTTTTCTGCGGTGCTCTCTGCGGTGAAGTTGGTGTTCTCTTCCTCAATCTTTTAGAGGATGGCATGTCCTCTTTTCCTGAAGTGGGGGTGCCTGGAGAGGATGAGGTCCATTCTTCTGTCTCCATTTGGATAGATTTCACCATTAAGATAATTTTCAAGCGGAGATCCCGGCTGTGCCTGGCTCTTGCTTTTAAATTACTACAGTGGGTGCACTTTTGTGGGATGTGCACCTCACCGAGACATCGGACAGATAACAAGTGTCCATCAGAAACTGGCATCGCTTCACGACATGAGCCGCATCTTTTGAAGCCTGGGGAGCCAGACATCGTTCAACAGTTGAATGTTCCCCACTGTGAGGAAACTATGGGGAAGGGGAAAACCTAAAAAAAAAAAAAATAGTTTTTCTCCTTTACTTCTAGCTATCTAAGTGAAACTAACTACTATTAAAATCTTGCTGTCTAACTATCTAAATTATACTATTTCTACGTTTTTTGTGAAGAACTGTGAACACTGCCACAGAGCTCCATCTCAGGCCGAGGACGGTTGAGCAGGAACTGAAAGGATCGGGTCATGTGCATGCTAGATGAGATGCACGGCACTGCAAGACATCTACTGCATAAGTTGGGACACTGCTATCTTAAATCTCTGATTGATGGCTCCAGGATGCACCGACACCTGAAGTAGCAGCCACAAAGACATCACTCGAAGAACCACTCTATGTTCACCATTTTTACAAAACTATAATGGATTTTATACAAAGTATGCCTTATGAGGTATCATTTGAAAATTCAATTTGCTGATCATTATTGTCCTGGTAAAATGTGTGGGGCAACATTGTACACAAAGTTATGAGATGCTACTGAGACATATTCCAAGTTTAAAAAGCAGGTACAAACCAGTTCCTCAAAAACAAAAAGCAAACTGATGCCTCAGCCAGGTGTCAACAAGATCAAATGGACTATAACCTGGTTAAACAGCCATTCTTTGGCAGGAAAAAGGGTAAGAGCGAGAAATTTACAAGGTGGCAAAGAAACAGTTGGAAGTTCCCGTCCCACAGACTGTCTCCTGAATCCCAGCTGGAGATGATTTTCAAAGAGGAAGAAAAGATAAAATGGGTAACAGATGCCCCAAATCATCTCTCCATTTCTACTCACGGCATCAACAACACTTGAAGAATAAAGGAAGCATCATCGGACTTGCGAGGGATCCTGGCTGGAAGATTCAACCAGTAAAACTGCTAGAACATATAGTGAGAGAGACCCTTATGCTTTGAATTCACTTAGCTTGTTAAGTTAGGTATCAGTTGCGTTTTACCTTTTATTTACTTGTAACCAATTATGACTTTTATGCCTCATTATTTGTTGTCACTTAAAACCTATCTTTCTGTCGTTAATAAACTTGTTTTATTGTTTTATTTAAACCAGTGTGTGTTTGGATTGAAGTGTTTGGGAAACTTCATTTGGGATAACAACATTTGTGCATATCATTTTCTATTAATGAAATGACAGACTTTATATGACCTTGTATTGTCCAGGAGGGGCTGGGCAGTACAAGACGCACATTTCTGGGGAAAAATCTGGGACTGGGAGTTTGCTGGTGTTGCCCTGTAGCGTAATTCATGAGTGGCTGGCTATAGCATTCATATAATATAGCAGATTTACATGCTGGAGGGTGGATGTAGGCAGAACAGGAGTGGCTGCTCTCACAGCAAAGCAGTGTAAAAGACATCCCAGGTTGGAGAATTGAGGGGACGGAGCTGTCTGTCAGTCCATATTGCACCCTGAGTAATGTCGCAGTGGCTACTTCTAAAAATGAAAAGCACACTTGGTTTTATCATTTCTGGATATCATCATTATGAGAGATCACCACAGTTTATTTTACACATTCTCATTTATTTTACACAGTTTATTTTACACATTACAATTATGCCCATATGTGTTTTACATATTGTATTAGTTTGACTCAAAAGGCTTGGGGGCTTGGATTTTTGTCGTTCTACCTAGAGAATAGTGTTGATTTTGTATAGTGTTACTGTTTTTTTTTGGAAAGAAGTTTTAATTTAATATAATCTCCTTAACACTAAATTCTTACCTTTATTATTGTAGACATCCAAGTAATTAGGTGCCGAAAAAATTGTTATTAATGATGGGAACCCTGTAGTCTGGCTTTTTCTGTACATTCTATAGCTGTAAAACAAACAGCTTAATTTGCATCATAAAGCAGTAAGTGATTATTTTGTATTGTTGAATAATTTCTGTAAGGACATAAAACACTTACCCTGCATCTTGTGCTTCATGAGCTCTAATTATCGACAACAAATTATTATTTTGCAAAAATTCACAAACTGCTGGATAGCTGTGAAATGAAAATAACTATGAGTAAAATCTTTTTTTTTTTTTTTTAGTAAAGTGTAACTCTTAGTACTAAAATGTCAATGAAATCCTAGATTTCTTTTTACCTATAAAAATAGGAGCATCCCCTGACTGTATTATGACTGAAGTGTTCCTGTGATTTTTCATTTCCAAAATCTTCTGAGGGATCTGACCACAATAAGTCACACATCGGTCCAAATGCAGGAGGCTCTTTGAATCTATCTAGCTGTTTAAAAAACAAACACAAAGTTGATTTAAATATTATATTAGGTCAGTTTTGCTTCTTACCTGTAGAGTATACACATCCACCAATGCCAAAGCATTACAAAGCAAATGCCACCCACCACATGAGAGAGGTAGGATCTGTAGAAACGTGTTTCCTCTTCTGTGTAAGGCAGATGCATGCCAAAAAATAAGAGGATGACTTGAACATACAACAACTGAGAACAATGAAGATAATTAATTATCAAAAGAGGTGAGAGATCCTCCAGACTGATGGATGTGTATGTTGTGAGAAAGTAAATTTACAGAGAAGGAACAAAATTGTCCTTTTCTCAGGCACACTTCATCTACCAATCTGAAGACACCACTGGGAATTAGAAAGCAGCAACAGCACAGAAAAAGTGGAATAAAAGGGAACTAAGAACTACCAGCCAACACGACCAGACAACCAAATGCAGCATCCAAAAAACATATCCACATTGGACTATTTAATCAAAGAATGAAGACATGACGACCTAGAGTCTCTGCAGATATTTTTTCATACAAAGCTTTATACTCTCTGCCATAACATTGCTGTGGACCTCGTGGAATGGGCCTTGACCATTTTTGGAGAAGGCTTCTTACCTTTTCTTTAAGAGGCTTCAGAGATGTCCTTTCTGACCCATTTGGAAACACTTACTTTAGTGGCTCTGTTACATTTCCAGTGACCATAGTGAAAAGTTACAAGACTAACTGTATTAGCTATCAGGAAGAGAAGGCTATTATCCCCTGTGAACCAGACACTAAAGGAGGATGGATGCACAACACAATGAAACAATGGTTATGTATGAGACTAAGATTTAGTCATGGGCATTTTTAATAAAAAAGTCATGAATAGCTCACAGGCAATAAACAAAAATTCACAGCCCTGTGATTTGTCCATGACTCGTACTATACACTCCTGACTAAATCTTTGGTGTTCTGGGAGGTTCCAGGGGGTGCAGATGGCTGCTCTGGAAGAGGGCCTCTGGGACGCCCGCTGGGGCTGGGGGGCCGGCTGGTGACCGCTACCAGGGGGTAGGGGTGTCCAGCTGGGAACCGCCGCTGCAGCTGGAGGGGACAGCCGGCCCAGGACTGCAACTAAAGGGGAGCAGACAGGGACTCCCACTGCTGCTGTTGGGGGGAAGCCCAGAACTGCCGCTGTTGGGCGGGAGGGTGTTGCAGAGGATCTCATTCCATTCCTGGGCAGTGGAAGGGCTTCTGTGTCATGTGGTGTCCCCAAGAGTGGACGACTATTTGATCATACGTTGCGTCCAGCAGGGGTTGTTGGGGTCATCCCGGATGGGGTCTCTCATTTACTTCTCCATTGTTAATACTGCTGCTTTGGCAGTAGCTGGGCTAAGTTTCTGTTCCCAGGGATTTCTAATGCAGCTTATGCTCCTGTGATTGTTGCCACTAGTGCCACCCAGTCTTAGAAGGTTCAGGGTGTCTGGTGTGCTACCAAAAGTTATCTGTACAAAACATGCCAGAGACAGGAAATAAAGATTTTCAAGAATTTATAACTCAGCCAAATGTGAATGGAATTTCCTAGCACATGCAAAAGGCACTTCCCCAAACCTAGGGCTATTACCCTGCTGTGATCAAAGACCTGCTGCACACAATGGAGGTCTGAGAGCTTCTCAAAAGAAGGTTCTAAGAATCTTTTATAATGAAAGATGTTGAGCAACTCAAATACAGGAGTCACTGTCAGCTCCTACTACATTTCCTGGAACAATGTGATTGATGATCCCAGCAAAAAAAAAAGTTTTTGCCCCTACCTTCTGTTGTCTGGAACCTGGATTCTTGGTTGGGTTTTATTGGCTGACTGGTAACATTCTTGGTGACAGGAGAGGCAAGCTGTTTCTCCAACAAGAATTTTATTTTTAAAAATAAATTGATGGGATCCCTTTTTGAAAATCAACCCAATTTCTAGAGACAGAACCTGCCTCACTTTCAATATTTCCTAAGATATCTGAATGAGTGTTGTCCATTATAGCTACCACCACCTTTGTACAACAAGACAGAAGCTTGTACAAAGACATAAGACGGTACAGACCGTCAACCTTAAAAGTTTTCCAAGTGGTAAAGAAATGCAGAAATTAAAGGAGCCAGATCTTTATAGAAAGATAGTATCTCCCTGTGGTGTAAGAATCATTCAATACAAACAGAATGTAAAATTCAGGGACCCTTGCATCAGAAATTAAATAGTGATTGATCTTTGGTTTTCTTTGCTGTGACCTCCGAAGTCCAGTTTCCCCAACAGAACCAACAAAATGTTATCAATTTCTCCTAAGGCGTCAGACAACTCATAGGTGGCAAAAAAGTAGACCAAGAATTTTTTTGGAACCATGACTGACTTGGTTTTTCATTTTTCATGCAGTTGGCTTGTCACCAGCCACGTGATTCTTCCTCCCTTCCCAACCGTCCCCACCTTTTAAAAGAAGACCTGCGAGCACAGAGTAAAGGAAGACCTCCTTTCAGGCCCTTTATTACTTGCTGATGACCTGGTAGAAGCAGTGGTGGATTCTCGACCAGATAATGGCATCTTACGAGTTTCCCATAACTGATTTTTTTTTTTATTCCAAATTGACTAGTTTGAGATTTGAAAGTCTAAGTCTAAGCATAAAATGCTTCTGACCTGATACTTTATTGTAATGTTCCAAAACTTGAAATACCACTCTTGTGAAGGAGGAACCAAATGCTACAGTCAAGATGTCAGATGAAAAAAGATCAGTTAACTGCAAACTGAAGAGAAATATTCAAGGAGAAATCAACAGAAGATTAAAAATTTTAATATGATAGGACCACCACCACCTGACATCAACATTTCATGTGAGGTAACTCCTACTTGTTTGTCAATGGTTTTATCAGACAGAACGCTTGATATCACAACACTTGTATTCCATTAAAATGAAATAACTGATACACTAAATATTTAATAGCACATAATTTTTTTAAAACGTATTTTCATCCTCCTTAATTACTGATATAACTACAGCTCTTTCCATATGAACAGGACCACTTTGAGAGGTTGCTAGGCAAACAAGTAATCTAACAATTTTCCATAAGAGTAACTCGGATTCTTGTACTATTACATTATATTGCAATTTTATAAGTCCAAGGTTTTTCTGAGAAAAAAAATATCCACACTATCAAGATAGAAACACACAAGTTTTCAAATTAAAATTACACGGACATTTAAAAAAAACCCTCTTATGATGAGAAAACAAATCAAGCTATAGAGTCTGATTCATTTTGTACATTCTTCACACAGTATAGCTATATTTAGTGAGAGCATATATAAACCCATTATAAAAGTTTTGCCGAACGTTAGAGGCAATATGTTAGAAAATGCCAAATTATATAACTTTATACAAAAATTAAATTTAAAATATAATTCTATGTCAAGCTGTGAAACTAACACCACAAATTTGTTTATTTCAATATTATTAATAGCTAACAAGAACCAAAAGACTTTTCATATTTAAGTTTAGAGGGCTAAATTAAACTTGATCTTTAATACACTGATTGATTTTTAAGGCAACACTTAGCTTTTAGGTGCTCAATCCTGCAAACTGCTAAGAACTCTAGCCCTTCTCCAGTAAAGAACTTAAAGTGTGTGCATAAATTAAAGACCAAACTTTAAATGTCTTGATTCAATTACATTACTCTAGAAACTAAGTTGTTTAACTGCAATTATGCGTATGTGTTTGGTATAATAAAATCCATGATTACTCATAGAATCATAGAAGATTAGAAGAATATCCAACCTAGACCTCCCCCACTGCAACCTGAGACCATTGCTTCTTGTTCTGTCTTCTGCCACCACTGAGAACAGCCGAGCTCCATCCCCTTTGGAACCCCCCTTCGGGTATTTGAAGGCTGCTATCAAATCTCCTCTCACTCTTCTCTTCTGAAGACTAAATAAGCCCAGTTCCCTCAGCCTCTCTTCATCTTCTTTGCAACAAAAAAAAAAAAATAATAATAATAAAAACCCTGCCCCTCAATCCAAGTGTCTGGATCCTGTTTCGTCCTTACAAAGAGCCAGTAAAAACTAGAAACTAATATACTGACATTTTCAAAGAGTGACATTTGAAAGGAGTCTTACAAATCCCCCATCCCCAGTTTTTTAGAAATACACAAACATACTCACTCTCTTAATGTCATCTAGTGTGTTTATTTCTGGTGAAAGTCCACCATGAACACAAAGAAACTGTTGGTTTAAAAGTGCAGCAAGAGGGAGGCAATCAAAAGCTTCCATACAAGCATCATAGACTCTTTCTGAATACTTTATTTTACCTGTAGAGAAGAAAAAAGAAATCATTAAGACTATTACGCAACATGAAGAAAATACCGTATTGGTGTTTTCACATTTAAAAACAGTTTTATATGGCAAATACTAAAAATAGAAAAATGGCACATTTTATTAAATTTAAAAATCAAGACATAGGCAAAGCTGCTTCAAGAAAAATTTCTTTCCAAAATTTAAACTTATACTTGCCTCTTCCTCTGCATCCTCAAATATAAAATATGGACAAAGTGTTACAACCAGGGTGCACAAAAATCAATGATTTTAAAAAATAAAATCGGATTTTTTTTATTTAAATCGGATTTTTGAGGAAAAAGCCTATCTAAAGATAGTTTTAATGAAGATATCTTTGAGTTATAATGTATCTCATCAAGGAACAGGGATTATAAATTCTAATTCTATAGTATGAGAGAATATATTAATGTAATGTTTAAGAAAGTTTTGTAAATGAGTTCCAATAGTTCATGGATTAGGGACCCAATTTTATGAGGTTCCAGGGGTTTCTGTATGGATTATTTAGGTTAATCTTTCTATCTACCCAATGGGACTCAGTGCTCAGGCTAGAAGATACCATCAGAGATGCTTAGTTTTGCAGTTCTCAAACTGTGGATTTGTGTCTACAGAGATAACATGCTTGTTAACAGCAAAAATGTTTTTTAAATAAATAAATATGTATAGGTGAGAAACAACAGACCTCAACCCTATTGTCCCTCTGCAAAATTTGTGTACACAGAGTCAATGCCTTACCTCTCTCTATAAGTGCGAAATTTCAAAAAGTTCAACGAACAGAAGATTGTTGGGAGCAGAATAGATCTGGACAAGGAGAAGAAGCCTAGAGATAAATGTGAGAAGGGAGGGACAGGCAATAGAAACAAAAGTGAAACTGTTTGAGCAGCATATTCCAGAAGTCTTGAGGTCTTTCTGAGTGTAGCCTTCATTGATCTGAGATCTACCATATCACTAGAAAGGAAAAAGGCAGCAGGCCATAAAAGAGACCCAGTTTGGGAATCATAGAATATTAGTGTTGGAAGAGACCTCAGGAAGTCATCTAGTCCAAGCCCCTGCTCAAAGCAGGACCAACACCCACTAAACCATCCTAGCCAGGGCTTTGTCAAGCCAGGCCTTAAAATCCTCTAAGGATGGAGATTCCACCACCTCTCTAGGTAACCCATTCCAGTGCTTCACCACCCTCCTAGTGAAATAGTGTTTCCCAATATCCAACCTAGACCTCCCACACTGCAACTTGAGACCATTGCTCCTTGTTCTGTCATCTGCCACCACTGAGAACAGCCAAGCTCCATCCTCTTTGGAACCGCCGTTCAGGTAGTTGAAGGCTGCTATCAAATCTCCCTTCACTCTTCGCTTCTGTAGACTAAATAACCCCAGTTCCCTCAGCCTCTCCTCATAAGTCATGTGCCCCAGCCCCCTAATCATTTTCATTGCCCTCCACTGGACTCTCTCCAATTTGTCCACATGCCTTCTGTAGTGGGGGGACTAAAACTGGACGCAATACTCCAGATGTGGCATCACCAGTGCCGAACAGAGGGGAATAATCACTTCCCTCGATCTGCTGGCAATGCTCCTACTAATACAGCCCAATATGCTGTTGGCCTTCTTGGCAACAAGGGCACACTGCTGACTCATATCCAGCTTCTCGTCCACTGTAATCCCCAGGTCCTTTTCTGAAGAACTGCTGCTTAGCCACTTGGTCCTCAGCCTGTAGCAGTGCATGGGATTCTTCCGTCCTAAGTTCAGAACTCTGCACTTGTCCTTGTTGAACCTCATCAGATTTCTTTTGGCCCAATCCTCCAATTTGTCTAGGTCACTCTAGACCCTATCCCTGCCCTCCAGCATATCTACCTCTCCCCACATCTTAGTGTCATCTGAAAACTTGCTGAGGGTGCAATTAATCACATCATCCAGATCATTAATAAAGATGTTGAACAAAACCAACCCGAGACGCTCCGCTTGATAATGGCTGCCAACTAGACATTGAGCCGTTGATCACTACCCGTTGAGACCGACAATCTAGCCAGCTTTCTATTCACCTTATAGTCCATTCATCCAATCCATACTTTAACTTGCTGGCAAGAATACTGTAGGAGACCGCATCAAAAGCTTTGCTAAAGTCAAGATATACCACATCCACCACTTTTCCTATATCCACAGAGCCAGTTATCTCATCACAGAAGGCAATCAGGTTGGTCAGGCATGACTTGCCCTTGGTGAATCCATGCTGACTGTTCTTGATCACCTTCCTCTCCTTCAAGTGCTTCAAAATGGATTCCTTGAGGACCAGCTCCATGATTTTGCCAGGGACTGAAGTGAGACTGACCCGTCTGTAGTTCCCCGGGTTCTCTTTCTTCCCTTTTTAAAATATGGGCACTATATTTGCCTTTTTCCAATCTCTATCATCCAGAAACCACCATAGATAAGTTTGTGATAAGAGCTAGCAGATTACAAAAAGAGGTAATTGATGAAAAAATTGCCCAGTTTATGCAACAAACTCTCCATTCCGTATGATTGAGAACCCACACTTCATTAACACGGTTCAGTCATTAAGACCAGGATACAGTCCACCCAACAGAGCAGATGTCACAGGCAAATTGGATAAAGTGTATGAAAGAGAAATTGAGCAGTGTGCAAAAGGTCTAGAGGGTAAAATTGTTAACCTGAGTCTTGATGGGTGGAGCAATGTCCACAATGATCCTGTTGTATGTGCTTGTGTGACAACAGTAGAAGAGAATGTGTTCCTTACAGAAACAATTGATACATCAGGAAATGCACACATAGCAGAATACTTACAAGAAGTAGCAGTAAAAGCTGTAACAAACTGTGAAAAAAATTCAAATGTCTAGTATGCAGCTTGGTCACAGACAATGCTGCAAATGTATCCAAGATGAGAAGACATTATTTAGAAGAGAGTCCCAAGCTTATAAAATACGTTGCAGTGCTCATTTGATGCACCTCCTAGCCAAAGACTTCAGTGTTCTAGAAATAAAGGCTAATGTTGTAGAAATTGCAAAATACTTCCGTAACAACCACTTTGCAGCAGCTGCTCTGAAAAAAGTGGGAGGAACCAAGCTAACTCTCCCACAAGATGTATGATGGAACTCAGTAGTGGACTGTTTTGAGCACTATCTCAAGAACTGGTCTAATCTGATGACAGTTTATGAACAAAATTGTGAAAAAATAGATGGCACTGTCACAGCCACAGTTCTCAACATTGCGCTTAAGAGAAATGTTGAACACATGCTGAGTACCTTGAAGCCTATTTCTGTAGCCTTGAACAAAATGCAGGGAAGTAGCTGTTTTATTGCCGATGCTGTTGAAATTTGGAAGGAACTGAGTGAGATCTTAAAAAGAGAAACGACGGCATTAAATTACAAGCATTAAAAAAATGAATGGGGCAAGCACTATCTCTAGCTTATTTTCTTGCAAATATTCTCAATACTCGGTACCAGGGTCAAACCTTAACTGCTGAAGAAGAGGAGTTGGCTATGACATGGACATCCAGCAATCATTCCTCCGTAATGCCAACTATAATTAACTTCAGAGCTAAGGGTGCACCATTCAAGAAATATATGTTTGCTGATGTTTTCATAGAATCATAGAATATTAGGGTTGGAAGAGACCTCAGGAGGTCATCCAGTCCAACCCCGTGCTCAAAGCAGGACCAACCCCAACTAAATCATCTCAGAGGGGGCTTTGTGAAGCCAGGCCTTAAAAACGGCTAAGGATGGAGATTCCACCACCTCCCTAGGTTTTAAAGTAAGTCACACCAATGAACTGGTGGAAGTCACTTGAGCACTTGGATTCAGAGACTGTTGAAGTGATAATCTCACTTAAACAGCAGTAACTTCTTCTGCCAGTGTAGAAAGAATATTTTCTTCCTTTGGACTAATTCATTCCAAATTGAGAAATTGTTTGGGACCTGGAAAAGCAGGAAAGCTTGTTTTTCTTTTCCAGATTATGAACAATCAGGAAAATAAAGGTGAAGACGACTGAGTTAGCTGCAGAATGCAATATTTTAAGTTTCTCATGTTGACCTGGCTGACATAGTCCATTTAATTTTTTTTAAAAAATATTTCATTTAACTATTTTAGTTAAAAACAATTTTAACAAAAACAAACCGGATTTTAAAAAACTTGAATGTTTAACTAAATTCAAAAATTCATATGCTTGTTCTGTTAAAATATTATATGTTTGCTGTTGAAGAAAAAAAAATCCAGAATACATAACGTTGTTTTAGTTAAATAAAACAATTTGAATGTCTCTCTGGTGATGTTCTCCTCCTAATACAGCATGGCAAGAAAATCCTCCAAATATTAATGAGTAAGCTGTGGAGATAGTTCACCTCCCAATGATTTCATAAATATCTGCTTCAATTACCTTTGGTAAATGAAATAACCAAACAATCATTCGTTTTCTGATATAACTGTAAAACTAATCTGAAAAGTTTTCAAAATAAATCACTGTTTAAAATTGTATAGTGTGTACCTTCTAAAAATGAAACCTACATCTATCTCTGAGTTGTGAAGAATATGCACGAAGGTTACAACTACCAACAAGAATGCACTTTTATGTAGAAAACCATGATTAAATCGAGTCTTCCTGACTAGTGATTTAAATCAAATCCACCCTGGCTATAACTATTTTTTAAAATGTTAAATAATACAGAAAAGTGAAAATAACTTCAAATCATGTAGTATAGCCTATTATACAGAATAATAAGGTATAAATGGTGAGTTTCAGATCTTTTAGTGACAAGGCCAAGGACTTTTGTGCTGATGTTCCACAAATTTCCATAAAAATTAAACCTCAAAAGATTTTAAAATATACAAATAGACTATAAAATATATCTTTACAGAGTCCAGTTCTGCACACACTTGCTCCCACCATGCTTATAATGGCTTGTAGTTCCATTTAAGTCAATACAACTATGCATGAGAATGTTTGCAGGAGCAGTCCCTTAATAGCATTTTTAGATATTTTTCTCAAGAGATAATTGTAAAACAGAACGGAAAGTACTAGTTTGGTAGTAACCCAATACTATATTCCAATATAGTACTTACATTCTTGCTTAAAGGTAAAATATTCTGTGAGGTGTCTGCATTCATGGTTGCCTCTCAAAAGAAATAATGTATTTGGATACAGAATCTTCAAGACCCATAAATACAGCACACACTGTTGAAAAACAAAGGTTTACAATGATGAAACAAATTAATTTACAATAATTTTTATTGAAAGGTTGCCAACAAAAAAAACCACTGTCCCCTTATGAAGAAAAAGAACATTAACAATGGCTTCAAATGTGCGCCACTCAAGGTACTATTTCGAATATTGACAAGGAGGATCATTTCATAACATTGCTCTCCTGATTCAGATGACAAACTCAGCATCTGAATTATGCAAGCAAGTTTTTACTTTCCTCAAAAAACAGTTAAAAACAGGCCTCAGGAAAAAAGTGTACTTCAGTGGATGTTCATCGATAAAAATATACTGTCAATTTAGTACAATTCTGATGAGTTTATCTGTGGAGACATCTATTGTTCATATAATCTGACCTCAAAGTAAAGATTCTAGAAATTAATTGGTAGAGGAAGGGAGAGAGTTTTGTTGCTTTGTTTTGGTAAAAACTGAAGCAATGACACAAAAAAGCTTATGTTTAAAACAGCAACACCCAGAACACCTAGAGATTGTTCTGCCCTTTTTATTTTTAAAAACAATTTGTTAAAAACATTACTGATGTAGCAAAGTTGGAAAGTTAATTCTTATTCAATTATCTGACTTTGTATATGGTGAAATCACAGTAATGAGCTTTATTTTACCACTACTGCAATTACAGAAAGAAAACCAAATTCCCCCTATTTTCAGAAGAGCATCAGGGGAAAAAAAATCCCTTAATTTAGGATCCATTACTACCTGAGACAAGAATGCGGACAATCTGGGGCTTACATTTTGTTTATTATTCTAATGCACGTTTTAGATTGAAACTTATTTTTTCCTCTATGCTCAAACTACACTAACCTGATTCAGAGGTTATTTTTGTTTGATTGTCTTTAAAAAAAAAAAAAAAAAAAAAAAACACAAACAAGTCTAAATCTGTCATTCGCTCTAGTCTCTTATTAAAAAACCCAAAACGGTTTTTGTGGGGAATAGTAAGCATGTATTCACACAAAAAAGGATACTTTAATTTTTTTTTAAAGATACATTTACTGTGAAATATATCCAAAAACACTTTTTAACATAAACGAAAACCCCAAAGATTAATTCAAATATCTGACAGCAAAACAATCCTTAACAAAAAGATGTATATTAAACAAAATCTTCACATTTTCACATTTAAAAAAAAAATACCTGCCAGTCTTTCAGTATTTCCATAGTTATAAATTGTTCTGCTGTATTTCAAAGAATATTAACACTTTATTAATGCTTCCCAGCCAGCAGCCCAGTCTGCTGACAGTTTGTAACAAAAGAAGTAGTAATCAACAGATAAGGATAGAGGCTGAAGACTTTTACAAATTTAAAAGGTAATTATTATTGACTAAGTAAATTTGTACATTAAATGAGCAAACATATATTGGTAAGAGAAGAGACTGGCAAAATGGTAGCTTCCTTTTGAATCTTTAGTTATTTATATTTAGGAATTATTTAAACAAGCCATTGGAAATTTGCACTTTAATGTCAATTCATTCAGTAGTAAAAATACATTTGCCTTTACAGCAGACAGTATGTACAAAACCAAAAAACCCCTTTAAATAACACACCATTGTTGTAGCAGTACCTTTTCTGCACTGACATTTGTTTTAAAATAAGTGAGGGATGGCTACAGTGTGACCCACGAAACTCTTCATGCCACCTTATTTTTAATACGGAAGTGCAGTACAGACAATTTACAGGTCAACTTCATCTTGATCCAATAGCTTGGACTTACTTCATACTGGAACCGTTCGTTTCCACAGGACTCTCCCTTCAATATTAAAAATTAGGGCATCTGACTATACTGTATAAAGTGGGTTCAGTCTTCAGGCTCCTGTCTGGGTGTTACTGCAGCACTCAAGTGGGCAAGGTCTATGTATTCCTGCTCTTGACTAAGGTTTTATTTTAACACCGGAAAGAGTTACTGAAATAAACATGCTTCAAAATGAACTGTTTAAGAATAGGTCTCTGAGCACAAAATTAAAGTAAAGATCAAGTACTTTTCTATCAGGGACTGAACAGTTTATTTACCAAAGATTACAGACAGAATAAGATAAGAGATTTAAAAGTGATCAAAAACATAAAAAATTTTAAAAGGTCCAGGTCAAACTGGATAAAAACTGTTGGATAACCAAACAAAGACTATAGCAGGAATTTCAGGGATGGAGGTGATTTTAATCTACTTTGCTTTCCTTTGCATATGTCCACAAAGCATAGCCCTCCCATGCTCTTGCAGCAATCCTGCTCCAGTCAAATACCCCACTATGAAATGTGCTGATCCATTAGTAGCCACTCTGTACAGCACTGAAGCAGGCAAGTCACTCTATGAGAAAAAAGCAAGTCTTATGAACGATTACGTGGTTTTTTAAAGTTTATACTAGCTAATATCACAGGCATATTATTAAAAAGAAAAGAAGTCCCCACTGCCTGAGGGGATAAAATGAGTCTGCTTTTATTAAATACTGAATATAGTCCCAACTCCAAAGCATTTCATAGCTCTTGTGGTTGTAAAGCTTGAATAAGTTCCAATGGTTTAAGATACGTTGTTTCCAGATGTTCTGAAAGGATGCAAATACAGCCTTCACATCTGTCAAGAACAGTGTTTACAATATAAGCAGAAGCATTTCTGTAATCAACCAAAACAGGACATGAAATTCAAGGAATGCTGTGGGGAGTGTCCTTCATTTTAACTATTCTTTATATGTTGATTTCTGAGGCATCACTGCATTATCTTTTGCTTATCACACCAACAACGCAAAACAGCACTGTGCACACACCTGAATGGTACATATATGCATGCTGCTTCTGAAATATTACAATTTTAAAATACTACAAAATAGCATGCATTATGCCCTAGCGTAGACTACTTAAAAAGCTATGCCAACAAATATATTTACAACTTAATTCGTGTCAAACTTTTTTTTAAAATTAACTTTAAAATTTAAAGGCACTGTCAAGTTAAACTCTAAATTTAATCTACCATCCAACTCTTTCTGGACCAGTTCTCCAACACTTCCCAACTCCTGGACCAATGAAGCTTGAGAGAATCTCAGAAGCAGCAGGATACAGCATACTTCTTGCCCCTGGCTACATGTTAAGAGCATGGACTGTGAATGCTACAGATGCCCTACAGTCCATCCTCTGCAAAGATGGCTATGGGAAGGCGGGGAAATCAGTAGGGCTGGTGGTTCCAAAAGGGCAGGCTGAGGCACTAGTCAGTATGTCTTTGTTAACTGTCTTTGAGATGGAATGAAGCATAGCAAGGAAGAATTCACATTCAGAGGTCAGAAGAACTGTGTATTTTACAAGAAGATAAAAAAAGTTTTCTTACAGTAAGGTTTAGGACAGAACAAATTAATGTATACAGTTACCTCTATACTAAAATAACCTCTGTCTACATAGTCACCAAGGAAGAGGTATCTTGTATTAGCAGGTGATCCTCCAACTTCAAACAGCTTCATTAGATCAAAGAACTGGCCGTGAATATCACCACACACTGAAACAAAAATACTGTTTAAATGAACATGATCTCTCTTATTTATGGGGGAAAAAATGTATAAACTAATTACAGAGACACAACATATTTTCCTAAAGAAAGATTCATTCTTCTTGTCTGGTAAACAATAAAACATGTTGATTTACAACTAAATATAGCCTTTACATTAAATTTGGTACTTCTTTTTTTTGCTAACAAGTAGGATACGCTATATCTAGACACATTTATTTAAGCAATTAGATAGTTTAACATTTATTCAAATTCTTAATTTTCAGTTATTTTAAAAAAAGGTGAATGACATTTCTTTATTTACTAGAGAATTAATTTTTTACTCATGTCAAGCTGCATTGGGATAGAAAGTAGAATTAAATTAAATATGCACAATTATTTTAAATTATTTTTTAGTTTAAAAAAGTGTATCAAAACATCTTTTACATGTAAAACTAACTGATTTTTTAAACAAAGGAAGTATTACCAGTAATTAGTGAATTGAACTGATTATTTCTGGTCATCATGTTTAAGATTTTAGAGCTCATCTCCTCCTACTTCATTTTTATTGATAGACTGGGAGTGGAAGACAAGCTCTCCTGCTTTTTTCAGTTTCCATTTGGTTTTTCAACTCTGAATGAGCTATTCATTGAAGTGAACAAGTTGAATAAACTGAAATGACGACAGTATTCTCTCCACACCTGCAGGAGAGGCGACTGCTGTCAAAAGCTGGTTTAACAATTCAACAAACTCTGATTTCAAGTGCTTAGCTAATGACTTCCACCAGTTCAATGGTTTGACTTTCTTGAAGACTTTGGCAGCAAACGTACCACTAAATTATTTTTTAAATTCAATTGTAATGATTTTAATATAGTATAATAAGTTTAGACCTAAACATAGGTTAAATTGAATTTGAAATTATGAATAGGTTTATTTTAAAAAGAAAAATGCATTTAATTTGAACTTTTAAAATATCTGAAATAAAAAATTCCATAAATAATCAATTTGTATTCACTCTGAATGGCAGCTATATAATGTAAACAATATGTTTTTAATCTGGTTATTTGTTTCTTTTAAAATAAAAAGTTAAAGATTAAAGTAGCATCTTTATCCAAGTCAAATATGGTCTGTGACTGGTCAGAACCTGAAAGTATTACAGTATCTTTTCAAAAACAAAAGCCATTTCAACTTTCCAACTGGATCAAGTCCTTTCTATTGTACTAAATAATACACAACAGTTTTATCAGGTTAGTCTTAACTTGTTTCAGTTAAGACTACCAAGAGATCATCACATTTCACATGAAAACTTGGATTCTTAGGGAAAGCAATCATGAATATTCCTCATTCACAACTCCTGTTCAAAATATTTATTTCAGCAAATGGATGCTCTAGCACGATCCCACAAATTTTAGACGGCAGTACAATCCAATCTTCTCTTTGAAGCTCATTTTTCTCTTCTGGATTATTACATCTTTTAGTAACATTTATTATTGTTAAGATTATAGAAACTGCTTTGCTTGTTGACATTGTATTACCAATCCTACTGCTTTTTCCAGACAGGTTTTATTCCTTCCCTTCTTCCGCATAATTTTTTGATGCAACGTTATGTTGAGTACTCAAGGAGAGTTATACAAAAGTAGCTCTGAGGGAAAGTTCAACATGATTGTTATGATAAAGATATCTTTACATTTATTTTCCCCCCAAGAAAAGGCCTTCTAATGAAAATTATGTGAAATTTTTACTTTGAGCATCAAAGGTATTGAGCATCAAAGGTAAAGGTATTACCTGTAATTGGAGCTTCAACTTCTATTATAGTTTTCTCTCTTCGTAGAATTGCAGCACCCTCATTGATGATTCTAAGTGCAATTTCTTCATCTACCCGACCTTCTTTTACTAAGTGGTTCTTCAAAATGTCAACCCTAGGTTTTCCATCTATATCAAACACTTCTTCAGATGACAAGCGATGTGTTGGTGGAAAAGGGACACCTAAAATTTAAAGAGGTGAGGAATATCAATATTAGTAATAATTATTTTCTTTAAAAATACACTAGATGTAAACAGGGCAGAACTGAACTATACTGATTAGCTGCCATGTAAAGTGGGATAACATTTACCAAATGTGTTTTTTAAATTTACACATTTTGAAGTTATTACAGTGACACAGTGAGATATGTCAGCATCAGATTATTAACTCGGGCATGTACTATCTATAGAAATACTGGACACTGTAACTGCACAGGCCTGGACATGCCCAGACAGCAGCAGTCCCTGAGAAAGGTGTTTGACACTTTATTGAAGGACTATCCCTAAACCATTAGACAGCAATGTGAGGACATAAATTTAGATTGTGTCAATTACTGGCCCACCCCATGGAGCAATGGTCTCTCTACACAGGGGCCCACAAAAAGAGGCAAGCGTAACTGGTGAGGCAGAATCTTCTCAATATGAGAGCACGTCACAGAGATGGAGGACCAATGTAGGAGCAGGGTCCTGACACTTGACCATCCCCACACGAGGATGTAAGAAGCACACATTAGGAAGGCCAAAAAAGAATTTGAAGAACAGCTAGTCAAAGATTAAAAAAAATTGTTATTACTTTTTGAAGTTCATCAGAAGCAAGAAGTCTGCTTCACAACCAGTGCGGCCACTGGACAATCGAGATGCTAAAGGAGCACACAAGGATTATAAGGCCATTGCAGAAAAACTAAATGCATTATTTGCATTGGTCTTCAAGGCTGAGGATGTGAGGGAGATTCCCAAACCTGAGCCATTCTTTTAGGTGACAAATCTGAGGAACTGTCCCAGACTGAGGTGTCATTAGAGAGGGTTTTGGAACAAACTGATAAACTAATCATTAATAAGTCACCATGACCACACAGTAGTCACCCAAGAATTCTGAAGGAACTCAAATGTAAAATTACAGAACTACTAACTGTGATATGTAACCTATAGTTTAAATCAGCTTCTGTACCAGATAACTGGCGAGTAGCTTATGTGACACCAAAACTTTTTAAAAAAGGCTCCAGAGGTGATGTCAGCAATCACAGGCCAGTAAGCCTAATTTCAGTACCGGACAAATTTGTTGAAACTATAATAAAGAACAGACTTATCAGACACATAGATGAACATGACTTGTTGGGGAAGAGTCAACATGGTTTCTGTAAAGGGAAATCACACCTCACCAATTTACTAGAATTCTTTGAGGGGGTCAACAAGCATGTGGACAAGGGGAATCCAGTGGATATAAAATTTACTAAGATTTTCAGAAAGCCTTTGACAAGATCCCTCAACAAAGGCTCTTAAGCAAAGTAAACTGTCATGGGATAAGGGGGAAGGTCCTCTCATGGATCAGTAACTGGTTAAAAGATAGGAAACAAGGGTAGGAATAAATGGTCAGTTTTCAGACTGGAGAGAGGTAAATAGTAGTGTCCCCCAAAGGTCTGTACTGGAACCAGTACTGTTCAACATATTCATAAATGATCTAGAAAAAGGGGTAAACAGTTGGGTGGCAAAATTTGCAGATGAAACAAAACTACTCATAGTTAAGTCCAAAGCAGACTGCAAAGAGTTACAAAGGGATCTCTCAAAACTGGGTGACTGGGCAACAAAATGGCAGATGAAATTCAGTGCTGATAAATGCAAAGTAATGCACATTGGCAAACATAATCCCAACTATACATATAAAATGATGGGATCTAAATTAGCTGTTACCACTCAAGAAAGAGATCTTGGAGTCATTGTGGATAGTTGTCTGAAAACATCCATACAATGTACAGCGGCAGTCAAAAAAGTGAACAGAATGTTGGGAATCATTAAGAAAGGGACGGATAAGACGACAGAAAATATCATATTGCCTCTATATAAATCCATGCTATGGCCACATCTTGAATACTATGTACAGATGTAGTCACTCCATCTCAAAAAGATATATTGGAGTTGGAAAAGGTACAGAAAAGAGCAACAAAAATTATTAGGGGTATGGAACAGCTTCCGTATGAGGAGATATTATTAAGGCTGGGACTTTTCAGCTTGGAAAAAAGACAACTAAGGGGGGGATATGATAGAGGCCTCAAAAATCATGACGGGTGTGGAGAAAGTAAATAAGGATGTGTTGTTTATTCCTTCTCATAACACAAGAACTAGGGGTCACCCAATGAAATTAATAGGGAGCAGATTTAAAACAAACAAAAAGGAAATATTTCTTCTCACAACACACAGTCAACCTGTGTAACTCTTTGCCAGAGCATGTTGTGAAGGGCAAGACCTAACAGGGTTCAAAAAAGTACTAGATAAATTCCTGGAGGATAGGTCCATCAATGGCTATTAGCCAGGATGGACAGGGAAGGTGTCCCTAGCCTCTATTTGCCAGAAGCTAGGAACAGATCACTTGATGATTACCTGTTCTGTTCATTCCCTATGAAGCACCTAGCATTGACCACTGTTGGAAGACAGGATACTAGGCTAGATGGACCTTTGGTATGGCCAATCTTATGACTTGCAAGGAAGAAAGGGCAGGATGGACTCTGCCCAGCCTGAAATGCTGCTGAACCTCAGGCTCACAGAAAAAGTGAGCTCAGACTAAGGGAGGGTATGTCTCAGGACTTGTGCTATTTTCAAAGATCTGTAACTCTGAGTGATTTAGAAGTAAAGTCACTGTTGTTAAGAAAATCCTTTGCTGTGCCTGTGTTCCTTCCTTTCCTGCCATGTAGTCCCTGAAGGGGTTAAACTAGAAACCCAGAGTACTTACAACCAAGGTGGAACGCGGAGGGAGCACGTGCAAGCGACTCAGAGGGTTTCAAACAACCACTTCAGGGTCTAGGGCAGCTGGATGAAGGCATCCTACATCCCAAGGAAGAAAGACAAGTCTGAGCCTGGGAATGTGCCCTATGGAGCCCTACCAAATTCACGGCCGTGAAAAACATCACGGAAAAATGTCACGGCCCATGAAATCTGGTCTCCCCCGTGAAATCTGGTCTTTTGTGTACTTTTACCCTATACTATACAGATTTCACGGGGGAGACCAGCATTTCTCAAACTGGGGGTCCCAAAAAAAAGCGGGTCATGGGGAGGAGCGATCGTAAGATTACTGTAGGGGGGTCATGGTATTGCCCCCCGTACTTCTGTGTCTACTGCTGGCAGCGGCACTTCCTTCAGAACTGGGTGGCTGGAGAGCAGCAGCTGCTGGCTGGGTGCCCACCTCTGAAGGCAGCACCCTGCCAGCAGCAGTACAGAAGGGTGCCATACCATGTCAGCCTTACTTCTGCGCTGTGGCCTTCAAAGATGGGTGGCTGAAGAGTGACAGATGCTGGCTGAGGACCCAGCTCTGAAGGTCGCAACACAGAAGTAAGGGTGGAAATACCATACCATGTCATCCTTACTTCTGCGCTGCTGCTGGCGGTGGCACTGCCTTCAGAGCTGAGCTCCCAGCCAGCAACCACCACTCTACGGCCACAGAGCCGGATCAAACAGAGAATGTATTTTTTTGCCAAGCCCATTCAACAGAAACTTCCCTCTCTAAACTCCTAGATATAAGCTGCTAAAACTCATATCCCATTTATGAGTTTGAAGATATTAGACCCCATTTTTAGATACATTTGGATACAAATAGTTGAAACTACTAAATACCAGATCTCCATTCCACCTAGCTCCTCCTTCCCCTCCCAAGTCCCTTCCTACCCTCCTTTTCCTATTTATGTCTTCTCCTATTTTTCTACTGTAACTCCCACCCTAATGTGTTATGTCTATGTAGTGTTGTTTGGTTTTGTATTATCTGGTCTTGCAGCTTTGATGAGTTGTAAAACTGCATAATTCTACTGGAGCCCCTATGAAGCATGTGGTATATGGAAACATATACCAGCAGTATGTTATTTATCTTCTTCAATTTGTGTTTTCATATAGTAAATCAATACAAAAATATCTCAAAAAATAGGAAAAAACAAAGTCGTCAGAAAAATAGGATTGTATAGAACCATCACCTTATGGCTTGCCTGAACTCGAATAACTTTGGCAGGAAGAGAAAAGCTACTTTCAGGACCAGTAAACGCTTCCAAGCACCGGACCTGGATTGCAGAATATTCAAACCCTGCTCCAAAGACAAAATTATTGATTCCCTCATGCACTTTTCTATGGCACACATCACAACAGAATCTGAGTAGCTCACAAACTTCAATGAATTTACTGTCACTGCACCGAGAGATCAGAGGCATTATTATTCCCATTTTACAGATGGAAAGCTGAGGCACAGAGTGGTGAACTGCCTTCCCCAAAGTTATCCAGCAAGCCAGTTGCAGAACTCGGATTAGAAGCCAGGTCTCTAGAGTCTCAGTCCATTGTCCACTTGGTCCTCTAGAGCAGTGGTTCTTGTAGTAGGAAGAGAGCCTGAGACATAAGCCCTTGTATTAGAGGCCTGGTATGAGACAGGACCTACTCACACAATCTGGCAAGAACAGGGCTGATATTGCAGAAATATACATTCCTAAAAAGTGCTAACCACAGAGTACTCATGCAAACACATCCCAATATCAAGTAGTACCAGAATATCCCCATATCAGGGATGGTACAAAAATATTCCCCAAGGATAACAAGAGCACACTGACCCCTCCTAAAAGATAAGGTCAGGATGACAGTACATAATACAGATGTTTTGATCAAACCAACACGTACAAGGCGATAACTAGCCACATCAGGGGGCAGTAACTAACTACTGTATATATTCGTTCATTAGCCCGTTAATTTATAAGCCAACCCCCAAGATGGATAGGTAAAAATAGCAAAAACCATATGACCCTTTCATAAGCCGACCCTATATTTCAGGGGTTGGCAAACTTTGGCACCTGGCCCGTTAGGGTAAGCCACTGGCAGGTCGGGATGTTTTGTTTACTTGGAGCGTTCGCAGGCAGGGAGCCCCTCAACTCCCAGTGGCCGCGGTTTGCCGTTCCCAGCCAATGGGAGCTGCGGGAAGTGGCGCCACTTCCCACAGCTCCCAT